AATAATAATAATAATACTCATAATAATAATGATATAATAACTATTGCTTTTATTATCATTACAATTATTATTATTATTATTATTATTATTATTATCATTATTATTATTATTATAATTATTATCATTATTATTATTATTATCATTATCATTATTATTACTATGATTATTACTAATAATCATTATTATTACTGATTATCATTATCATTATTATCGTTAAGATTATCATTCTCACCATTATTTCCAATATTATTATCATCGTCATCATCATTATCATTATTATTGTTTTTATTATTATTATCTTTACTAATACTATTATAGTTTTATTATTGCTAACGTTATTTTTAGTATAATTATCACTATCATTACTATTATCATTATTATCATTATTGTTGTTGTTGTTGTTATTGTTGCTGTGTTTGTTATTATTATTATTATCATTACTATCATTCCTATTATTATCATAATCTGATCCTTGTCATGATTAATATCATTATTATCTTTATTAATATTATTACTATTATCATGGTTATCATTATAATCATTATCGTTCTTATAATTATCATTAACAGTATTATCATCATCATTATCACTATTATCATTATTATTATTATCATTATCATTATTATCATCATTATTATATTATTGTTAGTATCATTATCATTATTATCACCATTTTATCATTGTCGTTATTGTCATTATCATTATCATTACTATTACTTTTATCATTATTAAACTTATAATTATCATTATTAATAACATTATTATTGTTGTTGTTCTTGTTATTTTGTTATTACTACTATTATTGTCAATCTCTCTGTTATCATTATTATCTTTATCATCATCAATATCATTAGCACATTCATAATCATTATAATTATTTCTGATAATAATAATAATAATAATAATAATAATAATAATAATAATAATAATAATAATAATAATAATAATAATAATAATAATAATAATAATAATAATAACAATAATAATAACTAGAAAAGCCCTCAGAGAGTGCAGACCTCCGCCAAGGTGCGTATATAATATATATACTTTGGTTGAGGATGAAAAGGATCAGACAGCTCGGAGTTTCTTCAAAAAAGAAAAAAAAGGCCCTCATACACAATTGAAAGGCAACAGTTTGCTTTTAATTGTGTATGAGGGCCATTTTGTCTCAAACCTTTTTACGGGAAAATAAATATCAGTGAGAATTTGGGGTTAAAGTTAAAAAACGGTGATTATGTTTTTTTTTTTTTATGAGTGTGACATGCGGGACGCTGTCAAGTCTAATTAAGAACATCATAATTATCGCTCGGATGCACTTGCACCGCTACTGCATCCACAGTGACACCCGGGACACGGCCAAGTCCAAAAATATCATGATTATCTTTCGGATGTACTTACACCGTTGCTGCGTCCAGACGGTAATTCGGAATGTCACCAAAATTTAATCAGTTCTAAGTTAGTCCATTTCTGACTTGTCCCCAAAATTTCACTTTTTGAGCTAGGCTGCTAACAAACAAACTAACCAACAAACCAACGCCGTCAAAAACATAACCTCCTTGGCGGAGGTGATAATAATAAAAATAATAATAATAATAATAATAATAATAATAATAATGATAATGATAATGACAATAATAATAATCATAATAATAATAATAATCATAATAATAATAATAATTATGATAGTAATAATAATAATAATAATAATAACAATAATGATAATAATAAAAAAGGTAATAATAATAATAATAATAATAATAATAATAATAATAAAAATAATAATAGATAGATAAATAAATAAATAAATGGAGTGTTCAGTTTCAAAGTTCATCCCCTCTGTAGCGGCTTAACCTGATATTCCTAAAAATGGCCAATCATTTGCATATTCTAGAAGATTCCAGAATACAAGTTACTAATTAGCATGCGTAACGAGTAAGTTATAAGTACGCAAGATACATATTCATGAAACATATTCATTACTACAAATCGAGACCTTTGTGTTATTCTTCTCGGATTCTTGCAAGTCCATAAAACTTATTGCATGATCACATCACACTTTCACGCCCACACGCCCATCCGCCCCTGCGCCCACTCTGAGATAGCTGATCACTGTATAACTCAAGTGAGAGAAAGATTGTGATATCAGCTGATACGGGTTTCCTATGTTTTTTATTCCTATGACCGTATACGCCCATCCACTTTAGCGAGATATAGACACACGCCCACCCACACCTCCGCACATACCCCCACGCACACCTGAGCGCCAATCCACATACCCAGACACTTGCACGGGAGCACATCCGCGCCTTTGCCCACGCACGCACCCGAACGCCCGCCCAAATACCCTCTCAGGCCAACGCACGCCCTATCTCAGCAACACACGCCCATCTCAGTCTCTTCGCCTTACCTTGACCGTGGCCTTCCGTCGACTGAGGATTCCCCGGGCTCCTTCGGCCTTAGCTCAAGTACCACGTCACCGGCCTACATGTGGGAGGCCCAG